TGAATGACAATTTTTCAGGTAAAATTGAAAAAGCTGACCCAGGTTTACTCGCCTTTTGGTTACACGCCTTCTTCTTAAACATAAAGATTCTTCTAGTCAGTCAAGGGGCAACTCACATGCCACCATCTTTTATTCAAAGGCAGGCACAGATGTTCCTTCTGCAGGGGAGGTTTTAATTTATGAAAATGATATTGTTTATGCATGAATGCACTCTGCATAACACACAGTACTTCCATCTGATGAGAGAAATACCACAGAACCAGTGCCAATGTCAGGAACATATTCTGCAAATTTAGTTGCTTAAATGTTTAATGAATATTTGGAAGGCATTTCCAAACCACAAGAAACCTTTTCAATTACCTTTTCTTTTTCCACGGTTAATAACAAAATTCAACTCCTCTAGCCAATGCAATTTACTTAAAAGATCTACCTAGGCTATCTGAATGTTTGCTACTGCGATACTTTAGAGAAAATAATATTTTAATGTTATGAGCAACCTAATAAGGAAAAATAATTAGGCATTTTGGTAACTAGAGGCTCCATTTTACAAATCACTTGTGAGTTTTGTTATTTCAATTAGTTTAGGTTATTTTTCCCCCACCCTTATAAAATATTGGACATTTTTTTCCCTCCTTTGCTGCTGCTTCTGGTGCCTCCATGATATTTATTTTTTCTTTCTGTTAATATCAAGCTGAATCTTGAAATCTCTGCTCATGACTCCCACAGGAAGGTCTATCAAGGTCTCTTTCAAAAGGAAAGAATTACTCACACTGTTCCTCTCCTATGAACATATCACTAATTAACTAAGGCTATAGTGGGATTATCTCACTTCTGCACGCGGAGGAAACCGTGGGGTTGAGTCATACCCACACACATACTGGGTCATCCAGCAGAGGCCTAGGACTCTTTTTATGGCTTGTTGGGACCAGTGGCCTTTCCCTTCGTCTTTATGCCGTACTTCTGACAGCAGACATTGTTCTATCACCAGTGCCTGCTTGAGAAGACCCCGGTGAAATCTCTGCAGGAACAGTGCACGAGTAAGTCACGACTTGCAGCTTTTCCCTTCCTGGTTTTCTGAAGCAACAGAAGAGGGTCTGGAAGTTGCGGACTCATCATTGCCTGTGATACAGCTGAGGCCCCAGCTATGACAGAGGGGTCTGAAACGGTGGAATTCCAGGTCACAAACACAAGATGTCAGAGAGGCTGAAAACTCAGCTTTTACCTAGCCCGAATGAAAAAAGAGCCTCAACATCATCAGACTTCAGCCCAGTGCCTTCAGGAGGACTCCCCAAGTGAAGGGAAGTAGATTCAAGGAGAACCAAGATTCCTGAATTCACCAGAAGACAACAGAGCATCGCTTTCTCCAGAAGATACTGTTCCAGAATTTTAATAAAGTAATATTAAAAAACAACATACAATTCCAGAGGTAATAGGAATTAACAGAAATAATTTTAAACTAAAACTTGAGAGCAAGTAAAACAAAACTTTTCTATCATCTGTAACAGTAAAAATTCTTGCAATTATTTCAGTATTGTAACTGATCAAAACTGGATCTACCATGACCTTAACGATTGCTTTTGACGTATTAAAAAAATGAGTCTCCCTTTTTTTTTTAAACAACACAGTACTTCTGTACAAAGAACCATTTTGTCAAATACATTTAGAAATTACAGTTAAATTCCATTCTCTTGTTTATATATATATTATCTAAAGATAAAAAACCAAACAAAACCCACTCAGTTCTCACTCATTCCTATTGAGGAAGAACTTACAGACATGAAAACTTGGAGTTCTGCCTGGTGCTGTATCAGGGAAAATATGCAGAAATCGGTCTTTGTTTTTATTGACCAAGATGGGTTGTATGGTAATTATTTCAGTAATTTTAAAT